ATAATATTTATGTCCATTTTTCTGACTCGGTAGAAGCGTTGCCTTTAAACGAGAAGGTTGCTGGTTAAAATCCCGGCTGGGGGGCCTTTTTGGGTGGAGTCTGCATGTCCTCTCGGTGCATATTAGACTGATTGGTAAAGCTAAAGTGAGAGAGTGAATGGTTGTTTGTCTCATTTGTCTCTGTGTCCCTGTGATGGACTGGAGACCTGTCCAGGGTGTCCCCCGCCTCATGGACAGTGACTGCTGGACGTGGGCACCGGCGACCCCCGTGACCCAAAGAGGAAGAAGTGGGTAAAGATGATGGATGGATGGATGGATGGACTGTGGTTCTTTCTAAAAATGTCTGCAGGCACGGTTGAGGCCAACAAAGGGTCCCAACCGGCTGGTCTTAACTGTCAGCTAACTCAGTGCACGTGCGTGTGCATGTGTAAATGTGTGTCAGAGATCTGCACGTATGCTGACAGAAATCCATGCTAAACCTCTGACCCCCGTGCACACTTAAACAAGCCCGTAATAACAGCCATGATGTCACGTCGTCAGTCACCTCTGCGCCAGCGGATTATGAAATATTTCCTTAAGTGAACGCAGACGTGAAAGATCAAAGGACGTGAAAGATCAAAGGAGCGTCTGACAAACGGGGAGGGAGGTGTTCCAGTCGGCAAACTCACAACTCAAATGGGCTTTTGGTGAGAGAAAGCATAGTTGGAGACTTTCAATGTCACCAGCGCACAAAATTGATGTTTTAAGATTCAGCGATTCAGAGAGGTTTATTTGTCATACACACCGCACGTGCACGAGGCGGGACGACGCGACGTGCACAGGGTCCCAGTTACATCCAAGAAAAACACAAATTGTAAAGAAAAACATTAGTTCGATCCGAGTCATGAACTAACAATATACGACATTCACTAAACTAAGAATGCACTGAGCACTAATGGCACAAAAACAATGTGCCAAAACAACAGCAGCACGAACATGAGTCTGTGTGAGCAGATGAGCACGCATGAGTGGAAGCAAAATATCATTAAAGGTCTTGTGTTTTTTAATCGGTGTAAATCACTTGCAGCCTTTCATGCCAGAGTTTTACCATAAAATCATCTTACAGTGGGAATTTAAGGGACTGAGATTTAACCATTTTGGTCCAACCTTGAAAATGATGCACAGTCTCATGTAACATCAGATCATGAGATCATGAGATCATGAGATCCTCAGATCATGAGATCCTCGTTTCTAGTCTGGAGCAGTGGATGGGCATCACACGGTCGGCCCTTAATGGTTTGAATCCTACCTCTCTGACAGAACCTTTTGTGTCAACATCAAGGAATTTATTTCAACATTGGCATTTCTTCTGTGGGGGGATACCGCAGGGGTCCATCCTCAGTCCTCTTCTCTTTTATTTATACCTGCTGCCACTAGGTGCTATTATTCATAAACACAGCATACCTTTTCATTTCTAGGCCAATGATTGCCACATTTACTTCCCTCTGAAGCACAGTGGCACACAACCTATCCAACCTCTTCTTGACTGCCTGGCTGACATCAGGGACTGGATGGCTTTAATAATTTTTTTTTTTTTTTTTTGAGAAAAAGACTGAAGTCATGCTGTTCCCACATAATGACACAATCAAGAACCACTGTATCAACCTTTCCTCTCTAGCCCCTTTAGAGAAACAAGTAGTCACTAATCTGGGAGTGACAGTCAACATGATTGTTAAATCCTGTTTTCTTTTTTCCCCAGTTGATTCAACTGTCTAAATTGAAGCCCATACTGTCCAACCTTGAGATAATAATACATGCTTTAATAACATCCAGGCTTGATTACTGAAATGCACTTCTGTTTGGACTCAGTCAGACCTCCACTGCACAGTTACAACTGGTCCAAAATGCTGCAGCCCAATTCTTAACTGGTCCAGGCACAAGAGAGCACATTACTCCAGTTCTGGCCTCCCTTCATTGGCTCCCAGTTCACTTCCAAATTAATTTAAAATCCTTCTATATGGCTTTAAATCTCTGAACAGTTCTGCCCCCTCCTATCTCGCTGATCTGCTGCAGCCATATGTCCCACAGCGCTCTCTGAGGTCAGACCAGATGCTTTCATTGGTTCCAGGAACTTGTTTTAAGCTCAAGATGACAGAACCTTCTCTGTTGAAGGTCCAAAACTGGACTGAGTTACCACTGCAGGTCAGGCAGGCTCCCTCTCTCTGTTTTTAAGTCCCGTTTAAAAACTCACTTTTATTCCCAGGCTTTTGACACTGTGCGAGTTGTTTTTAACTCGTCTGTATTTTATAATGTTAGTCATTTAGTTCTGATCTTTACCTCTGTGGATCTATGTTTTATCCTGGGTCCTTTGCTTGTTTCTGCTGTGCAGCACTTTGGTCGACCTTGTTGCTGTTTTAAGTGCTTTATAAATAAAGTGGTTTGGTATATTGACTCAACTACTAAGAAACAAAACTTTAGCCCAGAATCTTATAAAATGACCGAGTTGTAGCCATTTCTGTTTAGGCTGTTGCTAATTACTGTGGCGGCCATTTTTAATTAGATGAACTCCAAAGATAACCAGGTTTTGATGTTTTTTCCAAAAGCTCCATCATAAGTGGCTCCTGAGAGATTTTGCTAACAGACAAACCGAGTCGACTCTTCACAGCTAGTGATGATGTTTTACTGAAGACGTTCATGAGCAGCACTAGAATACTTTGTGAACAGTTCTCAGCAACAAACACTAAATTGTAGCTCAATAGCTGTAAAATTGATTGGATTATAGACATTTTTGTGTTTTGTAAATTCAGTTGGCTGTGGCAGCCATTTTGAATTGGACTGACTCCAACTGTTAATCAGTTGTAAATATAAATTCAAGGATTACTTTCTGAAAGTTTCGTTTAAATCTGTCCAGCGGTTCATGATATAATTTGTTAACAGACACAACACTTACAAACGCCACCGTATATACAGTAAGAAGCACACTGACTGAATTCCATGCAGATCGAATAATTTCTAAACGCAGATTAAATTTTGCATCCCAGAAAGATGAAATGTAAAGTCTTATCATGGAGGAAAGCAGAAGTGGAGAATTACTTCCTGTTCCACCTCGGAGTCGCTCTGAGCTCCAGCACGGATCCATATTTCAGGAAAAGAAGCCAAGACCAGGTTTGCCTGCGGAGAACAAATTTTCCACCACGTCAGGATTTTTTTTTTTTTTTCTGGTGAAGCTGAGTTTCTATTATTCTGCTGCCTTCACAGAACAAACACGAAGAATAGTTTTTAGTTATTCCCAACCTGCTGCTCGCTGAATCAGCTCCATCACGAAGCAGAATTGTTCTGTTTGTCTTCTTGTTCGGACCACGCAACAAATAAAAAGCACCGTGAAATAAAACCAGATCCCGGAGTTGTGTTTGCAAATCAAACACATGTTTTCCATGAATGTGTTTTACACAACCTGCTGCTCACCATATGAAAAAACAACCATATGCATTTAAACATGGCTGCTGCTCATAGCACGACTCATTCTTAGTAACAACATTGTTTTAATGATTCAAAATGAATGGTGCAGGTGGTGCAGGCGGTGCAGGCGGTGCAGGCGGTGCAGGCGGTGCAGGTGGTGCAGGCGGTGCAGGTGGTGCAGGCGATGCAGGCGGTGCAGGTGGTGCAGGCGGTGCAGGTGGTGCAGGCGGTGCAGGTGGTGCAGGTGGTGCAGGCGGTACAGGCGGTACAGGCGGTACAGGCGGTGCAGGTGGTGCAGGCGGTACAGGCGGTGCAGGTGGTGCAGGCGGTGCAGGTGGTGCAGGCGGCTCAGCGTCGTCTCCCACAATCAAAAAACTTTGAGCAGCAAACGCTTGTTTTTCTTGAAGAAAGTGAATGTTGTGTTACGTAACGATGACATTCAGCTGGAACGAAGAAAACAGCAGATTTACAGCTGCCAAAGGATTTCATTGATTTATTGGGAGAGCCGTAAAGCTCCATAGGAATGATTCTCACCCGCTGCCTTCCACACATGTTTTAAAGATCACGTCATTAAGAAATTAAAGAGCTGTAAGTGCTCTGGTCAAACACTAACATTATGCATGGGATATCCATGAGATATTTTGCTAACGCTACAGATAATAACACAAAACACTTGGATGCATGAAACGGTGTCAGCATCATCACTGAACAACAAAGCTGAGCTTCACTGGAAACAAAAACTTGCAGAAAGAGCACATATTTTCAAATAATGCATCACAGACTACCCCCCCCCCCACACACACACACACACACACACACACACACACACTTCAGGTAGATGAGGTAAAGCAGACCGTGTCTGATTCATGAACCTCGTGTCAGAGACGAGAAGCGTCTCGGGGCCGGTGAGAAGCTGCAGTTTTTCATCTCGCGCTCTTATTTTCTTCACACTTCTCTTCTTTATTTAAGATGAGCTTTTATTGCATTTTGTCTCTTCAGGTAAACCCTTGGTGGATGCAGAATACTGATGAGCCACAGAGCTTCTCTGCAGTGTTCCCACCTCCTTTGGGGGAACCCCCCCCCACTTTACAACTCATGATCTGTTCCCCAAACAAGTCTTCAAAGATGACCAGAGCATTATCTTCAAGCTTTAAAGTGTCCTCAAGTTCTGATGTGTCAGGCAGGAAGTCATCTATTGTCCCTGTCACGTAACGATCGTCAGCGATCGATCGAACACTTTGTAAATTATTGATTGAAGTTCATCAGATTTGACACCCGACACCCCCGGTGGCCTGATGTATCACAACCTGAACGCCAGAGAGTGCGTTATTGGAACAGCTAGCCAAAAAACGGTTATCTAATATGTTTATTCAATTCTCTGCAATTAACCGTTAAAGCGCCACACTAATTATTTTCACGTTGACACCGGTAGTTTGACCCAACTCAGCCGCGGCTCTTTGAAGGAAAGGAAGCGCCGTGATGATGTTTCACTCAAACATTTAGCACAACAAGCCAAACTCAGCGTCTGTTTAACCCTTTCATCCTTTTGTCTCTCATTCCAGGTGTGTCCTCTTACTCTTGGCCTCTGAGGCCTAAGGAGAAGTAAATCAAGCCCAGGCCCCCATGGGACGCTCCGTTACCCAGCATGCACTGCTGCTGCTGCAGTGCTTGCTGGTCCTGCGCCCAGGAGGCGTGGCCAGCAGGAGAGGGCCCGTGCTGCTTCCTGAGTCGCCCTGCCACAAGTCCGAGCACCCACTCGTTCCACACGCAGGTGAGGGTTCAAACAGGGTGCCGTCACTGACGTGGCTCTGTGTTTGGTCTTCTGAGCTCTGTGAGTCTTCATTCTGCTTTTCATGTCCGCTCAGCCTCTCTTTACTTCGGAGAGAATTAGACTCGTTTAGGGGAAGTTTCTGGATCATTTCACACAAACGTTTCTCTGTTGCTAGGAGACGCAAACGCTCGCACAAATTTCTGCTCCTGTAGTAAACGAGCGACCCAACGTAAAGCCAGGGCAGACATGAACAGCAGCCCCTCGCTGCTTCGCGGTTCGTTTATCACGGACTCGCTCTACCACGGTTTTTCAAAATAAGAGTGGACTCGACTCACAGCTGGCTGACTGACGGATGAGCCGCACGATCGGCGTGCAATTTTTATTTAAACAAAATTATTTTAAAATATTTAGCACCTGATGCACCTTTGTGCAGCCCACACTGCAGGAGAAACTTCCTGCTGCAGCTGATCAGCTGTTCTCTGTGCAGAGCGGAGAAGTGGGCGTGGCCAAGAGCGCTTGCAGGTGGTTGAGAGCAGCGGAGAGCTGAAGTCATGACATGCTGTCCCTTTTAGAGCGTTTAGAAACATTGTTTAGAATATTGCAAGAGAGTGGGAAGGGTTTAAAACACCTTTATATATATATATATATATATATATATATATAAGTACTACTTGTACTACTTTGTGGTTTTTCACTTATCACGGGGCTTCAGGGTACAGATCCCCCGTGATAAATGAGGGACTACTGAACCTTTATTTAGACTTTTAATTTGGAGTTTAGTGTAGAGGTATGTGCTTCCTGCTTAGCTCAAACTGACCTCTACTGTATGAAGCTGCACTAAAGAACACGTGACTCAGATCAGTCTTTACAGAGAGGTAATAATAAAATGTTTGCCCATAACCTTCAACACCACGCTACAGGATCTCCACACTGGTGACTGGAAAGAGTGCAGATCCAACGTACCAGCGAACTCGCTTCATTTTTAAGTAACAACAAAAATAATGAAGTTATTCAAGTTTAACTTGTTTACAACATAAAATGACACGCTGAGCTTTACTGTAGCAGGTTAGGATCACAACCAAACAGCTGTATGCAAGCAGCGCCATTTTTAAGCTGAAAACTTGTTTCAAAATTTAGTCTAAAAATCATTGCCTGACTTTGCGATAAAGTCCGAGAGCACCAACTCTAACGTCCTGTTTCTTCATGGCTGTTTTAGCTTGCTTTCATTCAGCACATCAAACATCTGTGGCTGTTTCCAGGCGGTAAAGTACATCATGCAGAGCTGAAACAGAACTAGTTGTTTAACTGGAAACAGTCACAGTTAATGAGAAACGATTGTTCTCTCGGCCACTCCACGCAGTGAACGTGCAATTATATCTCAGCAGCCGTAATCATGCTCAGCAGATTTGTCAAGTGGTGAATTTCTCTTTAGTTAAATACAAGATAAAGGCTGTTTTAATCCTGACCAAACATAGGAACAAGAAAGAAGATGCTTTGCTTGTGTTGGAAATGAAAAGTGTTGATGTCCAGTAACAACGGCACTAACACAAGTCGGCACGTGCATTAGGGTCCTGGTTTGTGGCTCGTGTCATCCTGGTGTGGGTTCACTGCTTGTTCTGGTGTTGTGCCAGTAGGTGTGTGTTGTCTCTAACTGGACATCCAGCAGGGAGTCTCCATCCATCCATTTCATTATTCGACACGTTGAGGAGACATGAAGGCAACAAATAAAATGTCCAGCTGTAACCAGGAGCAAGACCAAATAACACATTTGGGCTAAAAGCATCATTTTCTAATGCTCAACAATTATTTTTGATGCACATTATCACCCACCGTCAAAGGCATTTGTGTGTAATTGTGTGTATGTTTGTTTCTCTGTATTATTGGAAAAATATATTATGAGTCATGAAACAAATTGTATTGAAACTTCCAGAAACTTGGTAAACTTCAGAGACATTTGGATTAAATGTAGTGTCAGTGCCTGATTAACAAACGGTTGGTTTCACAGAACAAGGTAGATTGTTGCATAAATGTCATTTGAAGTAGTTTTAGTCTCCTCATGTTAAAATGTTGTGTCTAAATGTTTGGTCACCTGTTTCATTTGATCCATCAGAGACTCGATGCAGACCTGGTCTTCGTTACAAACACCTGTATTTCACAGCTCTGCAGCTTTTAGAAACTCCACGTCTTCATTTCCCAAACCGCCCGTTTCACGTCGCAGCAGAGCAGCTGAACTGTAATGAAGTCTTGGGAAGCCGAGCCGACAAACAGTAGCAATCAATGCTGGCCTGTCTTCCCACGGCAGAGCAGGAAAATGTCATTGAGCTGTTTTCAGTGTAGCAGAATCCAAACCAGATAATCACAGCATGCACTCGGGGTAAAACTGCCTTGAAGAGCAAGGTCACTGTCAGTGTTCACATGCAAGGACCCACATTTAGAACAATGAGCCGTCTCCGAGTCCTGATGCATCTGAATGACCAGCAGTGTGATCACTTTGGTTTAATTCACACTGACTGCACCTTCTCTGGAGAAATATTATTAAATAAATTATCTCAAAGATGAGTTAACCCATCAAATGAAACACAACCTTTTTATTATTTAGAAACTTTGACCCTAACAGTAAGAGATATTTAGCACAGCTGTAAAGTAACACCAAATTAACTTCAAGTCGATACTTTTGGTTCATTTCAGACTGAAGATGTTTGGAAATATGAAAGTACTGTGTGTTGGAATAGATCTGACTACAGTACTCCCTCACCTATCACTAGGGTTATGTTCCAGACACCCCCACGATAGGTGAACACCTGCGAAGTAAGAACGTTACATTTATTATATTGTTTATATATATTTTTAAAGTTTTATAAACCCTTCCCACTCTTGCAATGTCCTTAGCAATGTTCTAAACTCTCTAAACGCTCTAAAAGAGCACAACGAAGGAGAGCAGACAGACTGATGCTATCTACTGAGCCAAGCCTGGGGGCGGACTGGCCATCGGGAACACCGGAACATTTCCCTGTCTTATACCTGAGTGAGCCGCACGAGCGGCATGGATTGTTCATGTTAAATAATCAAGCGAAACCTGAACTGAGAGTTTAGTCCCCCTTGGCGATCACTGAGCGGGCCAGGTCACCGGGAAATGTCCCGGTGCTCCTGATGGCCAGTCCGTCCCTCAGCACAATGCTCTGGTTGGTCTCCATCAATCAGCCAATTGTGTGTTGTGTACAATCTTATGTTGAAAATTGAATTGCACCACTCAAGTGCATGTTGGAGTAGCTGCTACTTTCATTCAGGGATGTTGTTTTTGAAAACTTTAACTTCTCTTTTTCTGGATGTAATTTTTTTTTGGATGATTGTTTCCTCTGGTATCAGATGTTGTGCAGCTGGAAGGATTTTTACTGAAAACCTTCTACTTTTGGACATTTGTTATGATGCGTAACCATGGCAACAAGGTGGTTTTTACAACCGGGAGCAGCTGATTAACATCTCAAAGCTCAAATAATACCTCAGCTACATCTCCATATCTCAAATGAGTGGTAAAGGAGGTGCCGTGGATGCATCTCCGTCTACCTGTTGGCAGTGCTCGAGTGACCGCCGAAAACCTGGAGCTGGCGGGAAATGTGGTCCATAACAAGAAAAAGACCAGGATCATCCCCCAACACCTGCAGCTGACTGTCGGCATCGAGGAGCTCAAGAAGCTGCTGAGAGGAGTGGCCATCGCTCAGGGAGGAGTTCTGCCCAACATTCAGGTGGTCCTGCTGCCCAGGAGGACAGAAAAACCCACCAAGTCCAAGTAGACGGATCAACATCTGTGGCCAGTTTCTTCAGATCCACTATAAGACAGACCACCACAAGAGATCCTTCCTGCCCATAAGCATCTAGAACAACTCTGTGAAACCAGGAGAATGAGCTACAAGAACCATTAATTTCCCTCTGGGATGAATAAAGTATTTTTGAATTGAATTTAATTGAAAACCTGTGAAAGAGTGAGTCCACGACAGTCGAACCACAAAGTATCGAAGGACCACTGTATACGTTCTTGAAAAAGATGTGCAATAATAACCGAAGCATGCGAGACGCGCTCACCTCTAGTTGATGTCTCAGATAAGTGACGTTGGGAAACCTCAGTTTTTTATTTTTGGCTAAGACTTTTGTTTATTTTTGTAAAGTCCAGAGTCCTGAGCCATGCTTTGAAATTCAAACATAGTCCAAAGTTAGAAGGTCTTCTGGTCTATTTTTATTAAATACAAAGGTTTTAATGAGATCAGAAAGATTAATTAATTAATTAATTAATTTTGATCTAAATTAGTCCCAGAAAGAAGCAGCGCTGTTTAAAAACTCAAGAGTCGACTTTGCTATGATGCTTTTTACTTTTTCAGTATTTTATTTAATTGAGGACATCACAATCATCTTACAGTTATTAAGCAATATTAAAAATATTAACTTGTATAAAGTTTGCATTTAGGATATTTTGCAGGGTTCCCGCTGGCTGAATTATCACTTTTTCTGAGCAGGAAATCAGGATGAGCGACAAAATGGCGTTGCAGCGTTACATTTATATTAACAGCCTGTTCGACCGTCTTTCTCATTAACCCCGTCTGTCTGAATAGACTCCTCTAAATAAATCTTTTCTTTTGAAAATCAATGTCTGAGACTGAAATTTCAGCATGTTTTTTGAAAATAACCCGGTGTCGAAATGAAAAAAGCATTTTAAACGTAACTTACAAGGAAATGGTCACAATTGCATGATTTCTTACCTTGCCTTACTCCTGACCTCAGTAGCTGTTAAATCAGAGGATCTTGTGAAGGCATTAGTTTCTTCCTGCTTGTAACTTGCAATTTAATAACTTTTCTTTCATCCGATGAAAGCGGTGTTCAAAAATATCTCAAGTTGTAAAGTTAACAAACCCTTCTTAAATAAGACGTGAACTTGTAGCCCTGTTTTTCACTGAAAGCAGCAGAGAAGCGTCATTACAAGCACGTCGACACGTTTACAGAGGCAGGGG